TTCCTTTTTGCTAAAGCATATAGTTAGGGCTGGACCAGGTGACCCTGAATCCTCCCTTAGTTATGCTGCAATAGATGTAGGCTGCCGGGGGATTCCTGTGATGCATTGAGTGTTTCTTCTTCAATTAACTTTTTTACTCACTATTTATTTATATTGCTCTCAACATTTAATTATAAGTTGTTATTAGGCCAGCAGCTATTGATTATTTTAGTAATTGATTCATCTATTTTCCATCATTAATTGAGTAATCAGACAAGAAACACTTTCTTCTTATTCAGGAGCAATAATAAATATTCAAAAGAGGAAAAACACAGGTGCTCATTGGTTCGTGTTTTTTGCTTCGTCCATTTCATTTGTCAAAAACAAAAAAAGAAACCTTTTGCATTTACTTACTATATTAAATGTCTTTTTTTAAAGAAAACATTTTCTTAAATGCAAAAATATATAAATACTCTCAAGTAGCGTCAAAGTCAAATAAAATCAGATGAATAAAAATGAATCTTTACTCTGAGTGTTTAAGTGTGAGTCTGCAGTTTGTCCTGTGCTTTGAGTGTCTGTGCTGTTAAAAACAACATGTTATGATGCACGTTTTTACTGGCTTGTGAAAAAAACTTTTATGTTCATATTTTAAATGTTACTGCAGTTTAAGTAAGACAGTATTTTATATGATTTCACTTTCAATGTGAATGTTATGAAACCTTGAAATCAGCACGGTCCAGTACGTCTGCTGCCCCCTGCAGACTCCATGTGAAACAGGCCGGCTGACGTCAGCTTCATCAAGCTGTATAATTCAAACATGCATCAGACTAAGCTAACAGGTCTGCATGTTGTTGGTTACTGCACATGTGTCGAACACACATGGATGGAGCAGCTACAACGTTTCTTCACGTCACAGTTTGTTGATCAGGAGCTTTGATGCTTTTCCCAGCACAGGTTTCCATGGTGATCACAGGAACTGTGCTGTTTTCTTTCAACCGAACATCTAACACAAAGTGTAACAAGAACGTTGTCTAGAAGGGTCATGGTCACATTTTTCCTACTACACAAACGTTACCAAAAGCCAGTCGTATAATTAACAGGTTAATTACAGCTTTAAATGTCTGTTGTTTCAGGTTATGGGGACATCTATCCCGTCACCCTGCCTGGTAAGGTGGCTTGTGTCTTCTACGCCATGGTG